TGCTCTCCAGGGCAAGGGTCCTTCCATGCAGACCTTCTCCTTTCAGATCCTTCCCAGGGGTGCAGGTCCTGACCTGATATCTTTTTTTTCCATCCTACCCAGTTATAGGAAAATATTTCTTGCAGCTTTGGTTGTATGGGAGTTCTGTCAGTTTCCAGTTAGTTCTCCATGAGAATTACTCCACATGTAGATGTATTTTTGACGTGTTTGTGGGGGAAGGTGAGCTCCATGTCTTCCTACTCTGCCATCTTGATCCCCCTCCTTGCTTTTACATTTTTAAACGGTTGAAAACATTTTTCAAAGAATGACATTTTGAGACATGAGAAAATTATATGAAATTCAAATTTCAGTGTCCATAGATCAATTTTTATGGGAACACAGCCACACTGGTTTGTGTTCATATTGTCTATGGCTCCTTTCATACTACAGAGGTGGACCTGAGTGCTTGCAAAACAGACAGTAGATGGTATGTGACACAGATCACCTTGCACTACTTTGGTGCACTACAAATTGCAGTGACACAATTATAACCTGATAGAATTCTGAGTCCTATGTGTATTGTCACATCATGGCATTTTATTATTTTTTATTTCCAGCAGAAACCCATCATGTCAAAACAAGAGAAAAAAAAGAGAAAAGTGAACTTCGAATGTTGTGTTTTTAAGGCACAGTGGAGTGTGGATTACACCGCTATTGAATTAGATGGTAATGCATTATGTTTATGATGCAATGACAGAATACAAAGATACATTAACATTACCAGACTAAGCACTCATCACAATATTTTCAACTCACAGGAAAGCAATGGTCAGAAAAATCAGAAATTTAAAATTATAGCAGAATGAGGTTTTACTTACAAAAGTAAGTTTCTGAGTGGCTCATTTGTTAGACAAGCAAAGAAACTGTCTATTGGTAATGGATTAACTAAATCATTTTAGATTGCAGTAGCTGAAGAAATGTGTCCAAAAAAAAAACTTGTTTAAGACAATTAGCCTTTTGGCAAGAACAGTTGCTTAAAGAGTTGAGTGTGTTGGGAATAACACCAACAGTTAATTTAAAACAAGGCAAATACTTTTTTTTTTTTTTTTTTTTTTTTAAGGCAAATACTTTTGAGTGGTTTTTTTTGAGTCTTGATAAGTCAACAGATGTTACTAATACAACTCAGTTGTTTATTTGAGGAGTCAATGGCAAGTTTGAAGTGATAAAGAATTAGCTTCTACAAATAGTTTGCATGAAACAACTACAGGCTAGAATATTTTCAAAGACATTACTGAGAAAGCAATAATCCAATACAATGTATTTTTATACCACATTGGGGTATAAAAATATGTATGGGGAAAAATGGCTTGGACAAATTTACAATTTTACTTAAAAATGTAAGTTGTTTAAAGCCTATGAGTATTCACTGTATTATTCTTTTGCAAGTATTTTGCGCGTGCACACACACACACACACACACACACACACACACTTGAATCATGTGTTTTAGAACCAATAGTGTTAATGGTGAACTTCATCTTCTCCAGTGGATTTAACCATTACTATTTCTGAGTTTTTATCAGGAACAGTAGCTAAAAATCCTGACTTGCCCACACAGCAGGTTAATGGCTTAGCAATGGTAAAGTTTTATTATGATATTTTGATCTCAGAGCCGAGACTGAAATTTTTCTAAATCAAAATTGCCCTCAACTACCATCATTATTATTATTATTATTATTATTATTATTATTATTATTATTATTATTTTGGCTGTGCTGCATGGCATGTGGGATCTTACTTCCCTGACCAGGGATCAAACCTGTGCCCCCTCCATCAGGAGCACATAGTCTTAACCACTGGATTGCCAGGGAACTCCCTCAACTACCATTATTAAACACTGAATGGCTTTAGAAATTAGCTTTTGCTGCACATTTGATACTGTTTCTTAATAAATTCAACCTAAAATTATAAGGCAAAAGCAGAACTTATTTGAAACCGTTGGAAGGAAGGAAGGGAGGAAGGGAGGGAGGGAGAAAAGAAAAGAAACAACAGGCCCAAAATGGAGTCACTTGTGCTAAGCCTCACATCAACAAACCAAAACTTAATAACTAACCTAACTGCAGTTTCTGCTTCTCCCAGGAGTGGAATTTTAAACCAATCAGTCTGGAATTTCCTATCAACAGTAATGAGGTAATGTGCATGATAGATTGATCACCCCCACCCCCCCACCCCCACCCCCAACCCCCGCCTCCCTCAAAGGAAGGTGACCTTGCCTGAAATAATCCTTTCTTTTGTTTTTGACTTTCTTGTCCCACTCTTTTTCTGCCTTCAAAAACCTTCCATTTTGTACAGCTCCTCAGAGCACTTTTCTACTTTCTAGATGGGATGCTGCCCAATTCATGAATCATTTAATAAAGCCATTTAGGTCTTCAAATTTACTCAGCTGAATTTTGTTTTTTAAACACCACTGTGGTAAAGTTATTGGAACTATTAATGTTGTTTGAATAATAACATCAAGCTGCTTTATTTACTTCCTGTGCTATCAAAACTTGAAACAAGAAGTAAGATCTCCATCCCCACATAAATCTGCAAGGGATATTTTTTCATAGCCTAATCTATAGTTCTAGCATGGTGTTTTGGACTACTCCCCTTGGGCAAGCCCTGGTCTTGACTTCTGCCCCTATGCCCCAGTAGAAAGCCATAAACAGCCCAAGTTTAATCAAGGGAAGAAAAATGCCCTCAGTGCAAAAGTGGCTTTGGCCCACAACTGCTCCTAAATTCCCTTTTTTTTTTCGCAACTTGTCTGATAGTTCCTTTAAACTGTTCAAAGAACAGTTTAAAGGTGATTTACATTTTAACCAGCATTTTTAGTTGTTTTCAAAGGAAGAGTTCTTTCTGAATAACTTGCCCACCAGTAATAGAAACAGAAGTCTGAGCAACTGCAAGCAGATAGAATAGTGAGTCTCCAGAGAAAGAGAACCAGGCACGGCCTTGACAGGTCATTTTTGGCCTAGGTCATTTTGTGATCTAAGCCTGGCCACACTGCTTGTCCTTGTACAGGTCTCAGTAATTAATGACCTTAAGGAAACAAAAGAATGCAGAATCAAATGACTGTTATCAATAGCAAAGATAATAAATCAATTGTAAAATCTCCCAGTTCTGTTTCAGTGGTAAAGATTAGCCAGAAGTGCTCAACTACCAGATCAACTGGAACCTAATGGATGATGATTTTGACCTTTTCTGACCCTTGTGATTTCAATCAACTAAAGCTTGGACTCTGTTGACTTTTGCCCTAATTCTATGCTGAATTCTCTTCTGCCCAAGCCCCTTCATGAATATATGCCCTTATCTTAAAACTTCCCCAATTTTGCTATTCGGGGAGACACTGGTTTGGGAAAGGTCCCTGGTGTTCTCCTTACTTTCTTCAAGTAATATAAATCCTTCTCCCAATCTTTGGCTTGATTGTGTCTTTTGGTTCGACACCCACCAAGAGGTGAACTCAGTTTACAGGTAACACAGTTACTTTTTAAAGCACCAGTTGTCCTTTTTTCATAGTTATGTGGCAGCTAATGACAGCAGTCCTCCTAAAATGCAAGAAACTAAACAATAGATCCTAGCAAACCATGTGGGTGAAGTGTAGTCCCACAGAGAGTTTCTATGTGAACCCAGAGCTATGGCATCTCCCACCTACATAAAACTAAGTAACACAGAGAGAGTAAATGGCATGATTGATTAACATACCATTTAAAATATCAGTAGTTATCTAGAAAGAATTAGGTTGCATCCCCACCTCACTTCTTATACTAAAGTAAACTTTACACAGATTAGGAGTTAAACATAAAAAATAAACCCACTAATGTACTAGAAAAATATATTGGAAAACTTGTTAACTTTAGGGAGGATTTCTCTACGCTAGAAAACTCAGAAGTCATAAAAGAAAATGCTGATAAATTCAGCTGCATAAAACAAAACAACAACAAAAACTTCTTCATAGCAAAAAACCTAAACATAGTAAAAAAGCAAGTAACAAAGACATCAAAGTGGAAAAAATATCTCAACTCACATCACTGACCAGTAGTTCCCAAACTTTAGTGTGTATCAGAGCTACCTGGAAAACCCCAAATTGGTGGATTTCTGATACAAGGTCCTGTATAATGCATGATAATTTGCATTTCTTACAAGTTCCCCTGTAATGCTGATGCTGCTGGTCCAGGAATCACACTTTAAAAACCACTCATAGACAAAAGGCTAATTGCTGCTTTCATATGTAGACAGGTATTAGAGCCTATATTAAAATAATTAGAAAAAGACCAATGTACTAATGGAAAATACGCAAAGAGCTTGAACAGACAGGTCAAAGAAAAGGAAATACAACTGTCCTCCAAACGTATGAAAACATACTCAAGACCCCTCAGCATGAGAGAAAAGCATGTTTTCAAAACATAACAAGATATCATTTTTCACCTTTTGGGGTAATAATTAGTGTTGGCAAGGGTGTGGGAAAACAGGCACTGTCACACATTGCTGTAAGGTATGTAAATTGTTATTGCCACTGTGCAAGGCATTATCTACCAAAATTTTAAATGCATATGTCTTTTGAACACTGTGAAGAATTTACCATAGAAATATTCATATTTACACATGTAAAAAATGGCAAAGGTATAAAGACATTTGCTGCAAGCAGTGTATTTAGAAGCACAATACTGGAAGAACCTAAACTCCCATCAATGATAGATTAATTGAATAAATTACAATACACAGTGGAATATTATATAGCTGTTAAAAAGGTAATCCTGTACATTTTGATATGGAACAAACTCCAACTTAGGTTTTTAAGAGAAAGCCCCAAATCTTATAAATAGTTGTTAATTCTATCAATTTTAAGCACCTATTATGTTCATTTGTTACACCATAAGCAGATAAAATTTTAAACTAAGGGTTTTTTTTTTTAAGTTTTTCTTATGTTTCCCTAAGGACAAATTCAAATTCCAGCCTATGCAATTACTTTATGAATTGCTTACCTGACTGAACGATCATCACTTCCAGTCACGGCCAAAGGTTTAGTAGGATGGACGGCAAGTGCCCAAAGTTCACCTTCACAATGCCCTTGCATAATTAGGAAAGGTTTGTTTCTTTCATGCACCACAATTTCAAAAATTTCGCTGTCCTGTGTTCCAACTAGAATGTGGTCACCTCGCCAACAAACACTCCTTACAGACAAACCTAGTCAAATTGAATTGTATTTAAGATCAGTACTGTAATAACAGAATGCCAATCTGCCTAAACCACTGTTACTTTTTATACCTTAGATATAAGATAAAAGGAATCTGAAAGTCTTGGATCCACACATTTTCTTCATTTATCTGTACTGTTTTCTATGTGGACTATTTCTATTTTTATATACTTAATTTCTACCCATCCTTCAGGGAATACACTCTTCTTCCTTACTGGACAACATCAGTCATAGTCTGATCACTTCCTCAGCCAAAGGCTTATAACAACAGTGTGCATCATCCACAGAGTAATTATTCAGAATTAAAGAACTGTATTATTTTTCTCTTATAATAATCTGACTTTTCTCGTGTTTATATTTCATTTCTTCAATGTGCTCATAAAATCATTAAGAAGAGAGACTTCTACTTTTTCTATATACAATCCCTTTTGTAACCTCAGGAAAGCTAGTGTCTTCCTCAGTTTTCTCATCTATATAGTATGGTCAACATTAAGCTCCTGTGTAACTTACAATGTAAGAATCAAATAAGAAAAAGTGTCAAATTATTTTGTAAACTTTAAAGTACAATAATGCTCAGCAAAACTAATGAAAACGGTATAACAGTTAACACTGGATGATTGTTATGTGCCAGACACTTCTAAATATTTTACATATATTAGCCCATTTAATTCTCTGAAATAGCTACTCTTATTCTCATTTTACAGATGAGGTATGCAGCTCAAGGTCACACATCTAATACTTCCAGTCCTCTCTTATAATTCCACACTAGTGTATAATACGTTTACTTTTATAGTGAAAGATTCTGTTTTATTACATCAATTTTTAAAAACCCTCCCAAAGAAAAAATTATCTCCTGATCGCTGACAAATTTGGATGAAGGAAAAACACATATACATGAAATTAAATAATCCTAAACAAAAGTTCCCCTAGCTCTCAACACACTATTTTCAACAGTTTATTTGCTAAACAGTTATATTTAGCGTTCTAATAGTAAAATATTTTCAAAATTTAAGGTTACCAAAGTAAGTACCTATCACATCTCTCTGTAGGTTCCATTATAACAGGCATTAGACATGAAAAGAACCTCTGTCATAACACTAAACATAGATGGTCTTCAGGCAAAATTTCTCCTCTTCAGCAGAAGGATTTTAATTAAAATGTATATAGTATGAAGGGGCAAATATAAGTCTTATTTATTTTACAAAACATACTTTTAAGTTTACTGAAAGAAACCAACAACCTTGGTATATTTAGAATTTGCCTAGTAATGAGATATTTGTTTTGCTATTACCTTTGTACCCCTGGTCTGTCTCCCTGAGATCAATCACAGTTATTGGTTTAAAAGTTAAATCCCAAAGACGAATACAGCCATCTCTGCCACCAGTAGCAAAGCCTTCTTCACAAGCATTCATGCTAAAAATTCCCGCCTAGAAGAGGGAATAAAATAATTTAACAATATATACTTTTTAAGAAAATACACTATATATGATGGTAGAAATCCACTTAAAAATTTTTTTATATGGCATAGGAATAATCAAATACATCAGAAACATAAAGGATAATCTAGAAACAAATCTATGCATATATAGGAACTCAATATGTGACCAAGGTGGTATTTAATGAGATGGGCATAACATAAAAGAAAATTCAGTTAAACCTTATACCATATATAGAAATGAATTACACAAAAACAAAAACATGAAGACCAAATTCTAAACGTAAAAAATGAAACAAATATATTAGAAGAGTCAGAACACTTACGTAACTTTGGGCTGTGAGAGAACTTTTTTTAAGCATGGCAGGTTACCCACCAAGGCATAAAGGAAAAATTTTCAATTTTTCATATGAGAAAAGATATCGTAAAAAAACAAACTGGGGAAATATCTGCATTGTATATGACTGTCAAAAGGTTAATATCCCTAATATGAATAATATTGAATATGAATAATATTGAATAATAATATTGAATATGAACAAATGAATAAAGGAAAGAAAATCCAACAACAACAGTAACAAAAAAAGAGTACAGGATAAGAAAAGCCAATTAACAGAAAAGGAAATTCAAGTACAGCTGACCCTTGAACAATGCGGGTGTTAGGGGTGCCGACCTTTGTGTAGTCGAAAATTCTAGTAAAACTTAGAATTGGACCTCCACATCCAAGGTTCTCCATATCTGCAAGTTCTGCGGTATTCATGGATTCAACCAACCACAAATTGTGTAGTACTACAGTATTTGCTATTGAAAATAATTTGCATACAAGTGGACCCTTGTAGTTCAAACCCATGTTATTCAAGGGTCAACTCTAGTCAATAAATACATGAAATTTCACAAATAGACAGGAAAGCAAACTAAAACAAAGTTATTATTTTTCACCCAGAAGACAAGCAAAAATTTCCAAGAGTGGACACAACCTCTGCTGATGAGTATGAGGAAGAAACTGGTATTTTTATATATTGATGGTAAAAATGTGAATTGCCACAACCTTTGTTAGAATCTGCTATTTCTGGTCTTTAGGCATTTTGCTTAAAGCAAGTCCTGCTCTAAGTGGTTCTTTAATATACTTAATATGTAATATATATTGAATAGTGATTCATATTAATATATGTATCACTTTTCTACTTGAGATTGTCCTGCTACCAATATGGCAGCTCTGTGCTCTCTAGCTCCCCTCACTATGTGAGGGACTCAACTGCTAAAAAAGCCCAAATCAAAAAACACTGAAAGGTTTTTGTTTGTTTGTTTTTAAAACTTTTTTTGGCCATACCGCATGGCATGCGGGATCTTAGTTCCCCGACCAGGGATCGAACCTGGGACAGCCAGGAAGTCCCTAAAAGGGACTAAACACTAAAAGGCTTTAACAACAGCTTTTTTTTCCTGATAACTTATTTATATGAAAATCTCATGAAGTACAAAAATTAAATTCCTTTGCCACTCACTTAATGAATCAATGATATTAAAATTAAAAAGTTAATTTTATCCTAGAGCTATCCCCAAATTTCCCACTGGTAAATTGGCTACAAAAGCACTAGCTTTATTCTAATGTGGTTAATCTAGGATACCTTTAGGTTAAATTTAACAAACTTTTTTTCAACAATGAAAAAGACACCATACTAAAGCAATGGTTTGAACAAAATAATAATTATACTAATTTAATTGCATAATGTTTCTTCATTGAAATCTTGAAAACAAAAACAAATTAATTCAATTGTAATAGTAGTTTTCAAGTTACTGAATTGAACAGAAAGTCTGCTATATTATGGAACCTTTTGTTCTAAGACAGGAAGGTAAGTAATTAATACCTAAAAGTATTTAAAATATTTAAATATACTTACAGTATGAGCTCCTTGTATTGTTCGTATAAGATTAATTCCTTTCCAAACATATATATCCCCATTGAGTGCACCAGAATATGTTAATTCATCCCTTGCACAGGCCAGGCACAATATTGTCTGAAGGTCACCAGTCTTACCAAAGACCCCTCGTTTTGGGGTCAGAGCATTTCCACATAAACTCCAGAACTAAAAAGTACATAGTATAATCGAATTACCAAAGAATGCTCATAATATAACCAAAAACATTTCCAATACTTTGATGCTATATTAGAGCAGCAGACTAGAAATTACCTAAGAAACTCCCTTATGATACAATAGCGTTCAATGTTCACATCCTCATCTTAGTGTTGTCATTAGCTATGTTATAGCAGATAAATCACTGTTTCAATCCTTACTGTAATAAGGGGGGGTTGAACTAAACTATTTTAAAAATATGCTGTGTTTCCCTTAGGTTTCTGGAAAAAAAACTACATAATCTTTTAGGCAGATTAAAAAGTTGGGAAGGGTTAGCAATGAAAATGAAGCTAATGTTCATTTCTTCAGTCACACTGGCAGTCACATTTCAAACGCTCAAGAGCCACATCTAACTAGTGGTTACTCTATGGGACAGCACTGATGTGGATTCTAGAACAATGGTTCTTAACTCCTGCTGAGCATCAAAATCATTTGGATAGCTGGGCTTCACTCTCCAGAGATTCTGTCTCAATTTATTTCAGTGGGGGGTTCAGGTATATTGCGTCATTAATTTCCCCCAGGTGATTTTAATATGCAGCCAAAATTGAGAATCACTAATTTAGAAGAAAAAAATAGACTGAAATTGGGACTTACTGAAAGGAAGAGAACCAGCTATACTTATGCACAGAAATCACGGAGATTTTTAAATTTAAAAATCATACATTGATTAAAGCATTCATTAGCTATTTGAATGGATAAGTGATCATTTTTAGTTCTTTAAGGCTTCAGATTTTAAACTTAGATCTTTAGATCTTAGAATAAGATCTTGAAGATCAGGTAAGATCTTTTAAGTACATAATATTAATAAATCATATTACTTTAAGTGGCAATTTACTTATTATAAAGTTGAACTTATTCTCTGGGCCTAAATTCTTTATGCAGAACTATCTAATGTGTATACTCCTGCCCTGCCCCATATTCATTTCTTTCTTTCTGCAAACATTAACTTTACCTGAATCCACATAAAAGAACAAAAACCCTCATCATGAAGATTTATGTTTGACTTCCCTATCTTCTTCCAAAAATGAACAAATCATTCCAAATGTGTATCTTTCTTATTTTTAAGCTTTACAAGTAAAGGAACTGCTCAGCTTTGAAAATATCAGAGAGCAACATACTAATCTCTTTTTCATCCACCTCTGTTTCTCTCTGTCTCTCTCTCACTCTGTCTCTCTCTCTCTCGCGCTCTCTCTCTCTCTCTCTCTCTCTCTCTATATATATATATATATACACCCACGCACGTTGTGTGTGTGTGTGTGTGTGTGTGTGTGTGTGTGTGTGTGTGTATATCCTAAATTGTAGTGTGATGTGTGCTTAGTGGCAGAGAATAAGTAATCATGACTATTATAAAGCAAGACCCTTCTAGTACCTTGATATGTTTTACACCACAGCTGACCAGTTTATTTGGCTGGTACACATCCCAAGAAATATCAAATATCTGTAAACAAATCAGATTCATGGTTAAAATACTTATTTCCAGAATCATTTAAGAATCCTGTCCAAAAGCCCAAATAGCCCCAAACCCTACATATCATAAAACAATATTCCTCAATAAATAATAATCAGAACCCTACACTTCAAGATCCTATGAGAAATAAAGTATGTAAATGATAAGGAATAAAAACTATTTCTTAGTTTCTATGAACCATATGAAACTACTAGTGGAATGGAAATTAACATCTCTTTCTAATTTTTAAAAAAAATTTGGTCTATAAATAACAAGAATGATTCAACAGAAACAGGGAATGAGGCAGGTAAGTGCATAATTTCTAAAGAGGAAAGATAATTAAGAGAACATACACAACACTTATACAGCCAGAAATAGAGAACATTTTTGTAGCTTTCTATCACACAGAATTACTTACATAAAAGATCCAAACATTTATTTCACAGTAAAAATTCTGTTTCTAGTTTTCAGTTTTTTAAAATTGTTTATGGGTCAAACAAAACTAACTTACATTTTGGAGATCCCCAGGCTTCATTTTTTTCTAAGGTTCCATAAATTATAAATACACACAAACAATTTTTGTTACAAAATCAAACAAGAAAAAACCCAGCTGAAATAAAATATGCATTAAATATATACTTAATGATAAATGAAAGAAAAATTAATATTTGAAAAATAATCTCATAACAGATAAAAAACAATTCTGCTATCTGGTAGTCTTTACCATGTTTCTTTGATATCTGCCTGCATAATCACCTAATATGCTTACTACCTCTAAAAAGTTACCAAGTGATAGTCTTTAGTGATAATGAAGAAAGAATACATCTTATAAATTAACATTTAACAACTCACCATACATCTAATATACAGATTAAATGAAAAACATACTGATGCACCTTTAAAATACTAACCACAAAAATACTTTTCAAAAATTCCAATGACAGTACCATTTTTCATAGTAATCAGTCTACTTACTAAGTCCAAAGTACTAATGTGTGAAATGCTTTGATCTAAGTAAGTCAGAATACACAACTGTCTAATAAAATGTACCTAACACTTTAATAATTATCTAAATCGTGTTTGCGTATAACAGGCCCCTCTGAGAATCTGCTGAAAACCAAGTTTATTTTCCAAAATGCAAATACATTAAAATTTTTTATACAATTTTTACAGATTCATAGATTTTCCCCAAATAGAATCAACGACTGTAGCTCCTGTGTTGGTTCAGGTTAGGTGATTATGCAGACAGGTGTCAAAGAAACATGGTAAAGACTACCAGATAGCAGAATACAGCAGATACACCAAAAAAATCAGACATTTTAAAGAGTTTAAGACAAAGTATTCATTATATTAATTTCATACAACTTGGAATAAGGAATGTATTTTTAACAAGTTTCCAAAGTGAAAAATGTTAGGTCTCTAACATAATTTCAAATTCATATGTGCAACAGTATTCACCTTAACTATGATGCATATGTGATAAATCAAACTGAATAATCAATAGAGCCTAGGCATGAACCATTCAATTTTTAAATTTAGGTTTGAATAACTTAAAACTCATCATTTTTGCCAAAGCAAACACTGGGTTAAAGGTTTTATGCTAAAACTATACATATCAAGTCATGTTTTTGAGTACCACAATACATATACGCATTCTAAAATTTTATGAGTATTTATAACTGCATTTAAAATTTTAAATTACACATGAGCAACTGGCAATAACAAAACACAGAAACATAAAATCTCCTGACTCTTCTCTGGCTTTTTCCCACGCAGTACCCATTAGAAACTCCAAAGGAGAATACTTACTCTATCTGTGTGACCTGGAGCCATAGATAACATTTTTCCTCTTTTCCAATCCCAAACGCAAACTGCATTCTTTGAATCAAGTCCAACTGAAACCAAGCGCTGAATTATGTCCAAGAAGACCAGGGAGCAGGGGGAATAAAAAAGTAAACAAATAAAAAAGGAACCAAATTATAAATGGCAAACAAATTCTACTCATGGGTATTATAAACATCAAAACTTACACACTTATATTTTATAGACCTCATAGAGAAAGGCTGGATGTATTTCATCTTGTTAATATTTGCATATATGTGTAGTTCTTCATATGAGAAACAGAAGAAAGACTTCCATTTCTAACAGTAGGATTGACAGAACACCCTAAACATCTCTCCTGCCAAAAACTAAAAATGCTAGATAAAATGAAAAAACATCTTTTTAAATGCACTGTTGAGCTGTCAAGGAATTAAGAAATCTGAGAACAAAAACAAAGTGATTTCCTATGGGAATCCTGGAAGTAAGAGAGCTCCTATACCCACTTTACTCTAAAGGTATCAGCTAACTCCTGGTAAGCCTAATTTTTGTTCTTCAGGCTAAAGAGGAATAGGAGATAAAGTTTAGGGCCTGCCCAAGGTAGGGATTTGAATTGCAGACATTTGACTAAAGCAGTAACTCCTCAGAGTAAGGGAGAACAAGAAACCATCCCTTTTCAAAGAAAGGGGCAGTGATGCATGAAGGGGAAAAAAACCCTCCTGAAAATATGTAGCCACAAACAACCTTCACATGGTTGTAGGGCCTATGTCCACATGAATCATGAATCCTTCAAATGAAAAATTTCATTCAGAGTGGTCCTAAGGGTTGCAGAGTTTTCAAGCATTTTCAACTATGTGGCACAGGCAAATATAAATCCTATATGGAGGACTGATACATCAATCCATCCCTCGAAGAATTCCTACAAGTAGCAAGTCAATAAAAAATAAACTTAAAACAAACAACCCCCACACCCAATAACCAGAGGAAATAAGGGACCATGAGTGAGAATCAGCAAGTCACCAGAAACAGAACAATCAGTCTTGAAAAGTATCAGACATTGGAATTATCAGATAATATAAAATAAGCTTAATATGAGTAGAGAAATAAAATTAAGGCTTCAAAATATCTTCATATGAGACAAGAATGGGAGACCATAAAAAGTATCCCAGCAAACTTAAGGAAGCAAACAATTTCTAGAAATGAAAAATAAATGAAATTAAAAATTCAGTGGAAAAAAGAAAAAAATACCTCAGTGGAAGAGTTATATAGGAGATTAGAGGGAGATGAAGAGACTGAGCTGAAAAGAGGGGACAGTGAGATGAGAAGTATGAGAGAGGTTAGGAAACATGAAAGATGGCCTTTGGTCATGAAGGAGTATTAGGGTCTGAACTTGCCCCCCTGCCATAAACAACTAGAAAACTGTACAAAATATATAAAACAAATATTTTTGGACATTCTTAACAGGAAGTGAAGCACTGTAAACCGTGAATGAGGTGGAAGCAAACAAGGTAAGTTCTGCAATTGCCCCAGCCTTCATTTAGGTGGCATTTTCCAGACTATAGCACAGAAAGGTGGAAGCCAAACAGAGACCAGAAGACTTGCTGATTTGAGAAGACAGAGCCTGAAGTTCAGAGAGGCCAAGATGGCTAGAATTTGCAGAGCAGAAAAAGAACTCTAGAAAATCTGTTTATGGGTCCCCTTGAGAACACCAGTTCTTGCATGTATAAGGTGAAATCCATGAGGCCATGCAAAGAACAAATTCTGAAAAAAAGAACAATTACTGGGGAGCTAAAGCCAAACAATTCCCAGAGATCATAAAGGGTCAGGATCACTCAAATTCCCAATAGCAAGAATGGAGGTATATCCTCGAATTCACCGTGTATTCAGTAGAGATTCCAGGAGGGTCACACCATAGTAGTGAAGTTAAACCAGTGGTCCTAGAGGAAAAGCTACTCTAGCCTTGACCAAAAAAAGCTTGAAAGCAAGCTTTTCAAAAGGACCAAACTGATCGACAAGGAACTTAACTACCTACAAAAACAATGTCCAACATGCTTTAAAGGGATACAACAAAATCCAGCATTCAGAATGTAATATACACAATGTCCAGCATCCAATAAAAAAAATTACTGAACATGTTAAAAAAGAGGAAAATGTGACCAATAACCAGGAGAAAAATCAGTTAATAGAAACAGACCCAAGAATCACAGAAATGATTAAAATTAGAAGATATTGGCTGTTAAGATGGAAATGTTCAAGATGCTCCAGAATTATTTTAAAACAAACACATAAAGAATAAAAAGAGAAATGGAAGATATAAAAGAAAAACATGTTGAACTTTAAATATAAATGTTAAATTATCTGAAATGAAAATTCACTCCAAAGGATTACCAGCAGCTTAGACAATGAAGAAAAAATAAATGAACTTGAAGACACAGCAACAGAAACTATCAAAAATAAAGCACAGAAGGAAAAAGGGAACAAAGTAACAGAGCCTCAGTTACCTTTAGAAAAATTTCAAGGGGTCTAACGTACAGGTAATTGTGATTCTAAAAGGAGAAGAAAGATGGAAGAAAAGAAAAACAAAACTGAAGAAATAATGGCCAAAACTTTCTCAATTTGATAAAAACATAAACCCACAAATCTGAGACGCTCGATAAACTTCAAGCAGGGTAAATCACACACACAGAAAAAACACATCCACACACATGGGCATCAAACTGTTGAAACCAGTGCTAAAGAGAAAAACCTTAAAAGTGGCCAAATAAGAGAGAGAATTTTGGTGTGTAAGGACAAAGATTTAAAAATAATCCTGGGCTTCTCATCTGAAGCTATGCATATCAGATGACAATGAATAACCTCTCTAAAGTGCTGAGGGGGAAAAAAGTCAACACAGAATTATATACTTACCAAAAATATCTTTTGAAAACTGGGTCAAAATTAAGTCTTTTTCAAATAAACAAAAGATGAGAAAATTCATCAACAAATCAGCACTATAAGATATGATACCAGAAGTTTCTTCAGGCAGAAGGAAAATGATACCAAAGAGAGACTTAATTTACACATATCAATGAAGAGTACCCAAATGGTAAATATGTAAATAAGACTTTTCTTACTTTTAATTTTCTTTGAAAACTAACTGTTTAAGGAGAAATCACAACAGTTATAATGGAGTTTACAAAGCATGTAAAATGAATGAAAATGAAAGAAGTAAAATGAATGACAACAATAGCACAATAAACAGAAGGAGAAAAAAGAAATAGCAGAATACATATTTTCCCGTATTTTTTCAAAGTGCACAGGAAACCTCATGAAGATCACAAAATTGTGAATTACAAAATAAGCCTAAACAAATTTTTAAAAATTAAAATACAGAGTATGTTCTCTGACAAAGACAGAATGAAATCAGAATAACAGAAAGTTGTGCAGAAAATCCTCCAAATATCTGGCAACTATCAGTACAATTCTAAGTAACCGCAGAGTTAAAGAAGAAATCACAAGGACCCACCCACAACACGTACTTTGAAAAGCACTGGTTTAGAAGCAGGGGTAGGCAAATTATAACCCTCAGGCCTGTACCCTGCTTTTCGTAAATAAAGTTCTACTGGAACACAGCCACACCTATTCCTTTATAAGGTGTCTATGACTGCTTTCACACTACAATGCAGAACTGGATTAGCTGTGACTCCAGCTACTGGAGTAGCTGAGACTGCATAGCTCAAAAGCTTAAAATATTTACTATCTGACATGTTGTAGAAAGTTTTGCCAATCTCTGGTTTACAGCACAGATTCTGGTACCAGACTGCCTAGGTTTAAATACCAGCTCCATCTCTCACTAACTGGATGACTTTGGGCAGTTATTTAGCCTCTCTGTACCTTAGGTTCCTCACCGCCTAAATAGGGATAATGAAAAAAAACCTCATAGGGTTAACATATATAAAGGAATTAGAAGAGTGCTTGGCATAATTATATAAACGTTTGTTATCATCATCATTATTATTATGTTCCCATAACCATAATTAACTTTAAGAACCCATGCCCTCCACCCATCTGAATGAGAAATGTCATTTAGTACCTAGCTAGAAAGTTTCCACATAGTAAAATTACTATCTAAGTCCCCAAATGGGTAGAATGAATGGTTTGCATAAAAAGATACAGAATATATTTTGTATCTGGCTCTCCATGAAGTCACACTTGCAGAGAGTCCAAATGAACTAGAGGAGATGATTTGCTCCTCCTAAGAGTCTTTAGTATTTGGGAACTAGAGAGTAATCAGCAAATATCTAGCTAAAACAAAGATATCTACCTCTCGCTATAGTACACTATGTAGAGATTAAAATTCACAAGACACGTATAAAGTGAGGAACAGTCAGAGAGGCACTGCCCTTTCTATCAATGCCTCTTCTCTCTGGCTAAGTTCATCACACACAAAGTGAACCACAACTGGTCAAAAGCTTTAAAACTCCATGTACCTCAATAGAGCCCCAGAGCATCTGGCTCTGCACAGGCAGTAACAAAATAGACCTGGGAGCACTTCCTCTGTAGCCCTGATAAACATATCATGGCCAAAATCAACCTCCCTAACAACAGGTTAAGTAACAGCAGAGAGGAAAAGATAAAAATAACTAAGCAAATACTACCCACTCTCTTAGCTTTCTATCATTTTTTACTTCATCATCCTTTCTCACAGGTGAGGAAGAGCATAAAGAAAGTTTTCCAGTGAAAGCAATGCTGGAACCATATCTTAGAAGATAGAGACAGTCGGGTAGAAAAATAAGAGAAAATTCACTTAAGGCCAAAGGATACCAAGATCAGACAGCTCATGGTGCTTTCAGGAAAGAGCTAGTACTTTGGTGTGGCTGAGGGGAGGAGTTGCCAACGGGGAAGTGGCAGGAGACAAGACTGGAGAGGTAGGCCAGAAACAGGAGAAAGAATGAGCTTTGTTTTTTAATGAGTTAGAATAAAGAGAGAACTCAGTTTTAAACATGTAATAAATGGTATATCTATACGACATTCAAGGAGAGTATATGGAGGTGAGGAGAGAAGCTGAGACCACTGTTAACTGACACAGGAGTTAAAGTCATGGATCTAGTAATCACCTAAAGAGAATAAGTGAAGTGAGGGGGGCTGGGGAAAGGAAGGCTACAGACTCCTAGGAACACTGACATTTAAGAAGCAGACAGAAGGAACAGCTCCCTTCAAGATAACTAAGAACTAACAGTCAGATAGGGAGAAAGAAAACCAGATAAAGAAGGCTCTATCCAGCTTCCCAAATTCCTCCCTGATCCTATTCCCAAACAAAATCTTGGTTGTGTCCATTAATTAAACCGGAAGTATAGCTGACCTTGAACAACATAGATTTGAACTTCTTGGGTCCCCTTACACACATATATTTTCCAACAGTAAATACTACAGTACTACAGGTTCACAGTTGGTTGAATCCACAGACGTAGAGGAACCGTGAATACGGAGGGCCGACTACAAGTTATATGCGGATTAACCCCTGTGTTGTTCAAAGGTCAACTGTATTTATTAAAAAGTTCTAGCACACTAAATACTCAAATGAGAAAAGTATCTTAATAGGCACAACTAGACGAATTCCATGAGTTCCTGCAAGTGTGAAACATATTCAAATAATAGACAAACGTAAAAGATTCTAATATGGGGGTGGGGGGGTCCTTGTGATCTCAGTATTTATTAAGTGAGGACTAGTTGTTACAAATGTTACAAAGTAAAAATCACAAATTTTGCAAAATATCCAGGACTTAATGTAGTAAATATTGGTCAATTCATAAAGAAAGCCATCAGAAATTAGGATCTGGCAGAGCAATGGAAGAGATGAAAACTCGAAACTAATACAATAGGCACTTGAGATATGTCTAGATATCAAGAGATTACTAAAAAGTCCTTGGAAAAATCAGTGAACTCCTTTAATATTTTTGCAAATACGACTCTTCATAATCATGTACCAGCATATAATCAACAAAGTTAGGCTAAAAAATTAACATTTTATTCTTAGTTCATTCTATAAATTAGCAGAGTTTTAACTATAACTTAGATTTTGTTAAATATGGGAATGTGTTTTTATAAATTATCATTGTGTTTTCAAGATAAAGTATCAAATTCTCCTCCTCCTACCCCTCTCTACCATTTACTATGAAATTTTAATCTCTGTTTGATGTGGATTTATATAGCCTTTTCATGCCCTAATTATTTTCAATGAGGCAGACTTCCAGTATTAGCATGGATAGTCAATCCATTTAGAAGAAACCCTCTGGGGAAAGAAAATTCAGCATACTACCAACAGGGAGACTCATTCATTGGGTAAACCTTAACTGATCATTTACAGTTTCAAATCTAGTAGAAAATGCAAAAATTATACACTATTTCCTAATTGGTATTTCATAAACAGTTTACAGATATTAGTGAATAAATAGATATGTTCCCAAATATATTTCTTAACTAAAGCATCTTTCATTAACATAATTTCAGAAATACTCTTAACTTAATCTTCAATTGGCAGCAGTTCCTTACAAGTTTTAACTGTACTTAAGATGGATGAATTCCTTCTGAAATATAAACAACCACCTCCTAAGTTCCATGTTTGGGAAGCAGTAGAGCATTGCGGTTAAAAACATGAGCTTTGGAGTGTGACTGACCTGGGTTCCCGCTCTGGCTCCATTTACTAGCTGTGTAACCTGGGGCAAGTTATTTAACCTCTCTAAGTCTCAGTTTCTTTATCTGTAAAATAGAGATAATAATAATATCTATTTCATAGGGCTGTTGTGAGGATTAAATGAGATAATGTAGGCTTAGCACAATGTCTGGCACTTAGTATGTGCTCAATAACTTTTAGCTATTATGTTTTTTATAAGCTTACATTTTAAAGTAGCACATTCTTATGAAGATCTGTGAAAATAAAATGCATGTACCCAAGACTTTTCTTATATGTTGCTTAAAGTAAGCAAAATTTAAAGCTTCAACTAGTAAAAGCTATTGGCATGATTTCTCCTTGTATGTAAGAGAATTTCCTCAGCCATGCAATACACTGCATTTAGAAAGGGCAATTTTAAAATTAAGAAGAAAACATCTATATTTAAAGTATACAGACATTTATAGTTAAACCACTGTGGATATCATAATACCTTTGGTAAATAATTCTAAAAAACAACTTTGTTGGTTTGTTTCATAAAATATAATTTCCTGTGAAGTAAGCAAAGAGTGTTATTCTCTTCCTTTTAAAAAGGAAAATGAAATTTTGATATGAGGACATTAAGGGACTTGAAAAATAACAGAAAAATGGGAAATGAATTAAGGTTCTGGAATTGCCAATCACTGCTACACAGTGGTTCTAAACCTAGAAACACATTTTTTCCCCAAATGAGAGGTTCGAGTTACATCTTTATAGATCTCTTACCGGACTCTAAACAGAAGGTATATTAATCTATGCTACTCAAAGAAGCTATTTCTCAGAGTTGAAAATAAAACATCTACTGGCTGTCATTTTCAAGTGACTAGAACAAAACGTAATCTGTTTCTGTAAAATATAGATCTACAAAATTAATTTTAAGAATTAAAAAGCAGACAACCAAAATTCTTCTAAAAGTTAAAATAATTTTTAAAGTCTAATTTCACTATAAAACTTTTAAAGACTATAAGTTAACTAAATCTGCAAAACCCAACTTCTTATCACTTCTTAAATATGTTTTAGGTACAACAAGTTCCATGAAAGCACCACAAAAGAGCTGTTGGCTTAATTTTTTAAAAATCGATGACTAGAAGTAAATAATAATTTGCAAATTGATTAGTAAGTGGAACAAAGATTACACCTTTTGTTATGAACTTTGATTTTATATAAAATAGCTCATATTATAAAAACTGCATTATTTTCAATTAAAAATATAATTTTGGGCTCCCCTGGTGGCGCAGTGGTTGGGAGTCTGCCTGCCGATGCAGGGGACACGGGTTTGTGCCCCAGTCTGGGAAGATCCCACATGCTGCGGAGCGGCTAGGCCCGTGAGCCATGGCTGCTGAGCCTGCGCGTCCAGAGCCTGTGCTCCACAACAGTGAGAGGCCCGCGTACCGCAAAAAAAATAATAATAATTTTAATAGAAACCTTTAAAATAACTAAAAATTAAAATGTTTACAGCTCTACTTAGAGAAAGTGAATTTTCCTAAAATATCTTCCATCTTTCCTATTAACATATAATACGTGGAAAAGAGTTACATGTAAAATTTTCAAGAACAACCAGGTAATGTTCCACCGAGTCAGAATCACTTTGGCTCTAATAGTAGTAATTAATTCAACTGAAAAGTTCTTGATACAATGAAATAAAAACTCATTATTATTCTTATTTTTCTTATATATATCTACCACCCACCCCCTCTACCCACCTCCACCTTGAATAAATGCTTTTTGTCAAATGCTTTCCAATTTAATATTTACAGATTTATAATAATTTCTTATAGTACACACTTTAAAAACACAGTTTACAAAAAGAAAAAAAATTATCACATACCTGTCCATCTAAGTCAAATGCTAAGCAAGCTATACCATGTGTATGAACATCCTTTAGAACTGATATGGTCTGCACAGTGTATGAATCCCAAACACAGATATAAGGCTCTTTCCCAACTTGTCCTGTTGCCACCAATACTCGTTCAGGATGCAATGCAAGGCTGCAAAATAAATAAATAAACAGATTTAAAACTGCTTACAGAGCTGTTATATCAATGTGAAAATTAGACTTTAGTTACTTATTTACTTAAAATAATTTGGCCTTAAAATAACTTCCATAAAAATCAATCTTAAGAGTTACTACTTCAGTGGTATATGTAATAAACAATTATGATAGACTTCATAATCTTGTAATATGTTATAGTGTGTGTAAACTTTTCAAAAAAAGAATTCTCACAAGTAGTCAACTGAACCACAGCAATGAATCAGTAGCAACCCTACCACATGCCAACTTCTCATCTGGTATTCATCTCATCTGTTTCAAGCCCTCTCTCCCATTTACTCTTTTATTGTATAAAGTTAGACCAAATGTTAGTGTCCAAAAATAGCACTGAGTAGCCCTCCTATTATAACATTAATATTAAATTACAAATCCCATTTAAAAAAACAGAAAGGTCACCCATAATTCACAGAAAGTAGTCTGTAAGTCTTTAAAAACAAGACAAAGACCAAATAGTTGGTAATGGTTTATGTACATCAGTAGAAGGCAAGCAATGAATATAAATTTCTCCTTGATAAATTATTCCCCAAGTATATTTAGATGATCAAATTCTCCTTTGGGAGAAAAAAAAAATCATTCCGAGCATCAGGGTGGAAGATGAACTGAAAGAGGGAAAAGTTAGGAGGGCATTAAAACAGAATTAACAGGTTTGATGTACAGAGTAACAGAAAGGGAACAGTGTAAGATGACTCTTGGGTTTTTGGCTTGGGCATCTGGATGGCCTGGAGTGGTATCATCAAGTCAGGGAATACTAAGTGAGAAATTATGGAGAGAAAAGGTAAGCGGGAATGGAAGGTTGGTTCAACATATTAAAATCAACCAACGTAATAAGTATATCATGTTAATAATAACACCCAAACCCCCACACATGTTCATCTCAATAGATGCAGAAAAAGCATTTGACAAAAATCTAACCTCTTTCATAGTAAAAAACACAACAAACTAGGAATTGAAGAGAATTTCCTCAACCTGAAAGGGCATCTATGAAAATGCACAGCTAATATCACATTTAATTGTGAAAGCCTGAAAGTTCCCACTATAAGTACAGGAACAAGACAAGGATGTCAGCTCTTGCCACTTCCCTTCAACATGATACTGGATATTTTAGCCAGGACAATTAGGCAAGGAAAAGAAATAAAAGAGAGAAGTAAAACTATCTCTACTTGCAAATGACATAATCTCATACATAGGAAACCCTAAGGAATCCACAAACAACAACAGAATAAATCCCAAGTAGAGCTAATAAATGAGTTCAGCAAGGCTGAAGGATATAAGATCAATATAAAAATACAAATTGTATTTCTATACACTAGCAACAATCTGAAAATTAAATCAAGAAAACAATTCCACTTATAACAGCATCAAGAAGAACGAAACACTTAGGAATAAATTAAACAAAAAGGTACAAGACTTATATACTAAAAACTACACAATACCATTAAAGAAATGTTAAGAAACTAAATAAATGGAAAGAAATCTCGTGTTCTTGGAGGGCCATATTGTTAAGATGGTATTACTTCCCAAACTGATCTACAGAGTCAACACAATCCCTGCCAAAACACTAGTTACCTTTCTTGAAGAAATTGACAAGCTGATTCTAAAACTCAGAACAGTAAAAACAATCTTGCAAAAGAACAAAATTGGAAGACTCACACATACCAATTTCAAAACTTACTACAAAACCACAGTAATCAAGACAGTATGGCACTGGCATAAAAACAGACATGCTGATCAATGGAACAGAATTGAGAGTCCAAAAGTAAACTGATATATTTATGGTCAATTGCCTTTCCATTAATAAGAAAGGTCTTTTCAATAGATGGTGCTGGACATCTGAATATCTAGAATGAATCTGGACCCATACCTCAAACCATATACAAAAATCCACTCAAAATATAAAAGCCAAAACATAGGCATAAATCTTACTTAATTTGGATGAAACAAAGGTGTCCTTATATCTGACACCAAAAGCAGAAGTGATAAAAGAAAAAACAGATAACATGGACTTCATTAAAATTAAAAACTTCTGTGCTTCAAAGGACAACCATCAAGAACATAAAAACACAACCCACAGAATGGGAGAAAATATTTGCAAAGCATATATCTGATAAAGGACTTGCATCCAGAATACAAAAAAAAAAAAACAACCACTCAACAACAAAACCACAAACAACCCTATTTTTTATGTGGACAAAGGATTTGAATAAACATTTCCCCCAAGGAAATTACCAGTAATGAAACTCCCAACAAGCAAAAGCCCATCACCAGATAGCTTCACAGGTGACTTCTACCAAACATTTAGATGAGAGTTAACACCTATCCTTATCAAGCTATTCCAAAGAATTGAAGAGGAAGGAATACTTCCTGAACTCATTCTATGAGGCCAGCATCACCCTGATAGCAAAACCAGACAAAGATATGACTAAACAAGAAAATTACAGCTCAATATCACTGAAAAGCATAGATGCAAAAAATCCTTAACAAAATATTAGCAAACCATGATCAAGTGGGATTTATCCCAGCGATGCAAGGATTTTTCATTACCTGCAAATCAATCAGTGTGATACACCACATTAACAAAATGAAGAATAAAACCCATATGATCATCTCAAAAGATGCAGAAAAAGCTTTTGACAAAAATTGAACATCCATTTATGACAAAAACTCCAAGAAAGTGGGCATAGAGAGAACATACCTCAACATAATAAAGGCCAGATATGACAAACTGACAAATAATATTATACTCAATGGTAAAAGCTGAAAGCATTTCCCCTAAGATCAGGAACAAGACAAGGATGCCCACTCTTACCACTTTTATTCAACATAGTAATGGAAGTCCTAGCCACAGCACTCAGACAAGAAAAAGAAATAAAAGGAATCCAAATTGGAAAACAAGAAGTAAAACTTCACTGTTTGCAGATGACATGATACTACACATGGAAAATATTAAAGATGCTACCAGAAAACTACTAGAGCTCATCAATGAATTCGATAAAGTTGCAGGATACAAATTAACATACAGAAACCTGTTGCATTTCTATACACTAACAACGAAGTATCAAATAGAGAAATTAAGGAAACAATCCCATTCATCATCGCATCAAAAAGAATAAAATACCTAGGAATAAACCTACCTAAGTAGGTAAAAGACCTGTACTTAGAACTATAAAACAGTGATGAAAGAAACTGAAGATGACACAAATAGATAGAAAGAGATACCACGTTCATGGACTAGAAAAATCAATATTGTTAAAATGATTATACTATCCAAGGCATTCCACAGATTTAATGCAATCCCTATCAAAATACCAATGGCATTTTTCACAGAACTAGAACAAATAATTTTAAAATTTGTATGGAGACACAAAAGACCCTAAATAACCAAAACCATCTTGAGAAAGAATAGAGCTGGAGGAGTCAGACTCCCTGACTTAAAACTATAGTACAAGTTAAAGTAATCAAATCAGTATGGTACTGGCACAAAAACTGGCACAAATCAGTATGGTACTGGTGGGATTTGTGCACAGATCAATGGAACAGAATAGAGAGCCCAGAAATAAACACATGCACTTATAGTCAATCTATGACAAAGGAGGCAAGAATATACAATGGAGAAAAGACAGTCTCTTCAATAAGTGGTGCTAGGAAAAACTGGACAGCTGCATGTAAAAGAATGAAATTAGAACATTCTCTAACACCATATACAAAATAAACTGAAATGGATTAAAGACCTAAATGTAAGACTAGATACCATAAAACTCCTAGAGAAAAACATAGGCAGAACACTCTGACATAAATCGCTGCAGTATATTTTTGGATCCATCTCCTAAAACAAAGGAAATAAAAGCAAAAATAAATAAATGGACTGTACACCTGAAACTAACACAACATTGTAAATCAACTGTATTCCAATAAAAAATTTTTTAATTAAATAAAAAAAGGAACCTAATTAAACTTAAAAGCTTTTGCACAGCACAGGAAACCACTGACAAAACAAAAAGACAACCTACTGAATGGGTGAAAATATTTGCAAATTATATGACTGATAAGGGGATAATATCCAAAATATATAAACTTAACATTAAAAACAAACAAACAACCCCATCAAAATATGGGCAGAAGACCTGAACAGACATTTTTCCAAAGACGACATTCAGATGGCCAACAGACACATGTAAAGATGCTCAACACTGTTAATCATCAGAGAAATGCAAATTAAAACCACAGTGAGGTACCACCTCATACTGGTCATAACGGCTATCATCAAAAACAACACAACAGGGCTTCCCTGGTGGCACAGTGGTTGAGAGTCCGCCTGCTGATGCAGGCGACGTGGGTTCGTGCCCCGGTCCGGGAAGATCCCACATGCTGCGGAGCGGCTGGGCCCATGAGCCATGGCCGCTGAGCCTGCGCGTCCGGACCCTGTGCTCCGCAACGGGAGAGGCCGCAGCAGTGAGAGGCCTGTGTACCACAAAAAACAAACAAACAAAACAACACAACAAATATCGGCAAGGATGTGGAGAAAAGGGAACCCTCGTACACTGTGGGTCAGAATGTAAATTGGTGCAGCCACTGTGGAAAACAGTTTGGTGGTTTCTCAAAAAACTACAAATAAACTACTGTATGACTCAGCAATTCTTCTCCTGGGTATATATCCAAAAAAACCAAAAATATTAATTCAAAAAGATACATATACCCCAATGTTCACATAGCAGCGTTATTTACAATTGCCAAGATATGGAAGCAACCTAAGTGTCCATTAACAGAAGAGGTGTTTTATACACACACACACACACACACACACACACACAATGGAATACTACTCAGCCATAAAACAGAGTGAAATTTTGCCATTTGCAGCAACATGGATGGACTTGGAGGGCATTTTGCTAAGTGAAGTAAGTCAGACAAAGACAGACAAATACTGACTGTATAATATCA